TTGTGTCTTGCGCTTTCGTGATCTTTCATCCTCTTCCGTAGTCAGTTTGGCTCCGGCTGTTTCCGCCTGAGGGTGTCTGTTACGTTTCCCGTTCTCATTATCAAGGCAATGAAGTGCGCACGGGTGCTCCTCGTCGCGCTAGCACTCGCGGGAGCCTCTGGCCAGTCGCCCATAGGCAAGGTCATCGAGCTTCTGTCGAGCCTAGAGGCGCAGATCCAGAGGGAGGCTGAGGAGTCCGCCAAGCTCAACAGCGAGAAGGAGGGTTGGTGCAAGGACACTTCTGTCAACCTCGGTTTCGAGATCAAGACGGGGGCAAGCGAGGTTGAAGAGTTGAAGGCAGCGATCGGCAAGGAAGCCGCCAGCATCAGCTCCCTGACCAGCAAAGTGGAAGTCTTGGCGGCGACGATCGCTAAGAGCGACGCGGACCTTGCGGCGGCCACCAAGATCCGGGGAGAAGAGACTACGGACTTCGCTGCCGAGGAGAAGGAGCTCACTGATACCGTCAGCGCATTGCAGAGGGCAATCGGCATCTTGCAGAGGGAGATGTCCAAGGCCGGTGGAGCTGCCTTTGTCCAGGTCAAGAGCGCCGCGTCTGTGATCCAGGCGTTGCAGGCATTGGTGAAGGCCTCCGCGTTCAGCGCCGCTGACGCCAACACCCTCACATCTTTCGTGCAAAACACCCAGGGGGGCGAGGATAGCGACGAGGAGCCTGGCGCCCCAGAGGCCGCCACTTACACGAGCAAGAGCGGCAGCATCGTGGACGTGCTGGAGGACCTTTTGGACAAGGCGACCGCGCAGCTGGACGCCGCGCGCAAGAAAGAGACCTCGGCCAGGCAAAATTTTGAGATGCTCGCTCAATCGCTCAAGGACGAAATCGAGTTCTCCACCAAGGACATGGGCGAGGCCAAGAAGTCCGCCGCCGCTAGCGGCGAGGCTAAGTCCGAGGCCGAGGGGGCGCTGGCTGCCGGATCCAAGGACCTGGCGGGCGACAAGGCCGCCCTCGAGGAGCTGAAGAAGGATTGCGCAGCCCACGCCGACGACTACGCCGCGGAGGCTTCGAGCCGCGCCCAGGAGCTGAAGGCGGTGCAGGCGGCGAAGAAGGTGCTGTCCGAGACCACCAGCGGCGCCGGGGGTGTCGCCTACGGCCTGAGCCAGACCACCCCTTCCTTTCTGCAGTTGGGCCGCTCGAGCGCCGCAGTCCGCTCCGGGGCCGACCTGGCCAACTTCGAGGCAGCACGCTTCGTCCGCGAGCTCGGCCGCAGGTTCCACTCGCCGGCGCTAGCGCAACTCGCTCAGCGCATGTCGTCGGCGATGCGCTTCAGCTCCGCGAGCGGGGAGGACCCGTTCGCAAAGGTCAAATCTCTCATCGGAGACATGATCCAAAAGCTCGAGGCCGAATCTGGGGCGGACACCAAGCACAAGCAGTATTGCGATACAGAGATGGCCGATACGACGGACAAGCAGGACGAGAAGACCACTTTGGTTGAGAAATTGACCACGAAGATCAACCAGATGACTGCCAGGTCCGCTGCTCTGAAGGAAAGCATCGCCACTCTGCAGAAGGAGCTCTCCGAGCTGGCGGCCTCGCAGGCGCAGATGGATAAGATGAGGGCTGCCGAGAACGAGCTCTTCCTCGAGCAGAAGACAGAGCTGACGACGGGGATCTCGGGCGTGCGGACGGCGATGAAGACGCTGCGCGAGTACTACGGCGGTGGAGCCAAGGACCACGCGGCGGCCTCGGATGCTGGTTCGAGCATCCTGGGGCTTTTGGAAGTCTGTCTGTCGGATTTCACCAAGAGCCTTGCGGAAGCTACCGCCACAGAGGATAGTGCCGCGTCCGAGTATTCGTCGACCACCATGCAGAACAAGATCGAGAAGACAGCCAAGGACCAGGATGTCAAGTACCAGGGGAAGGAGGCCGCCGATCTCGACAAGGCGGTGGTCGAGGCCACATCCGATCGGGCGTCGACGCAGGAGGAGTTGGATGCAGTGCTGGAGTACCTCGCGAAGCTCAAGGACATGTGCGTCGCGAAGCCGGAAACGTACGCCGAGCGTGCGGACCGCCGCGCTGCCGAAATCTCTGGGCTCAAACAAGCGTTGTCTATCCTCGATGGCCAGGCCCTGCTGATTCAGCGCAAGACGCTGAGGGGGCGCGTCTGATCGGAGCAGCCCGGTAGAGCGGCCGCGCCGCTGTATGGCCTCCTCATCTCTCGGCCAAGGGTGCTCGAACCGTCCCTCCCTCACCCCCTCCCTCGCCCCACCTCCGCGTCAGGTGCTCGATCCTGACCACTTGTGAAGCCAGACCGCCCAACTCTCGTGCAGGAGATTGCCGAAGACTAGCGGTTCACAGGGGTGTTCGTGGTCGGACCCGTTAGGTTCCCACTGAGTTTCGGGTGGGCAGGTTGCCCTCTTGCTTCCTCCCTTCCTCCCTCCTACTCCTGCTTCTCCTGGTTCCTCCCTCCCGACTGCTCCTGCTCCTCGTCCCACTGCTCCTGTTTCTCGCATCTCCTGCTCCACCTCTCCGCTGCACCCGGTCTTGCTCCTGCTCCTCTTGCTCACTTGATTGTTGTTGGTGTTGCTCTCCCGCCTCGCCCCCGTTCGACTGAAAGATTACATCGGTTGGACGGCCATTACACTGGCACTGGAGAGTGTCTGATCATATCGCCCTTGGCCTGTCGCTATCAGCAGCAGATCGCCATCAGCCTGATTGTAGTCAAGCACATATCCTCGTCATCAGCATCCTTGAGTCATCATTGCCATCGTAACATCACCGGTCAGTGCTACCATCGTCGATCATATCTGGCATCGCCGGCGTCGTTTTTGTCGCCAGGACCTTCGGTACCGCAATGTTTCTAGGGCTGTTCTGAGCGGGTAGTCGTGGCCGCTGCGATCTCCTGGGCCGTCTCAGAGAGCACCCAGGATTGTCCCAAGAGTGCCCAGGAGAGCGTCAGCAGCCTCCAAGATGGTTCCCAGAGCGTGTCAGGAAGACTCCAGGTGCCTCCAAGAGGCCCTGGCCCCCAAGGCGCCAATCAGGAGGTCCTCAAGAGGTAACGAGTTGATTGTTTAAAAAACAGAAGTTGTCGAAGACGCCTACGGCGAATCACCGCCGTCGGGCCCTCTTGAGGTGCATCAAGGCTGTTTGGGATGCCGTCTTGGGCGCCTTGGAGGTTTCCTGGGCCGTCTTGGGGTCCTCTTAGGGCAGTCTTGGGGGCCTCTTGGGAAGTCAGGGGACCGTCTCGGAGGCCAATTGGTCGCTCTCGGGGCCACCTTAGAGGCCTGTGAGTACGTCTTGGGCCCTCAGGAAGCCGAAAATGAGTGAACACCGAACTCCTTCAAACACCTACGGCACCTCAATGATTTTGACTTTTTTAGGCCCTCCTAGAGGTCCTCGTGGAGGCCTCTTGGGCGGTGTTTGAGGCCCCTTGAGCCGTCTTGGGGGCCTCGCGGGCCATAATGAAGCATTTCGGTCCGTCGTGGAGGCATCTTGGGCTCCTGTTGGGTCCGTGGATGCCTTCTTGGAGAAAACCTCGGCAGTCTTGGAGGCCATCTTAGGGCCGTTTTGCGTGGCAAGATCGACGGAATACTAAATTTCCGCGGCGTTCCGGATGGCCCGCGGGTTGGGCCAAACGCCTTTGGGAACCGTGGAGAACAATAGCAAGTGTTCAAATCGGGCACACCGTCCACCCCTGCGGCAAGCTACAAGGGGCGGCGGATCTAGCGCCCCTCGGCCCATCCCGTGCCTGGGTTGTGAGTTGTGGGTCAGAGTCCTCATGGACGTTTCTTGGAATCTCGTCGGAAGGCTCGATGACCTCTGGGGGTAGTTGTTGCGCCTCTGAGGAAACCTCTTGGTGGCCTCTTGGAGGCTCCTGGGGCCCTCTCGGAGCGGATGGTTCCAAGTCTAGGTTCGTGTCCCCCCTCTGAGATCCCTCTCGGGGCGTCCTTGGGGACCTCTTGGGTTGTTTCGGTACCATATTGGGCCGTATTGGGGACCTCTTGGGCTGTCTCAGTACCATCTTGGGCGTCTTGGAGGCATATTGGGCCGCCTTGGAGCGTCGGGACCCCAAAAAGGCGGAAACGCCCAAATCCCTCGAACAGTTATTCGGAACCAATGAGTCTTGCCTGTTGGGGCCCTCTTGGGAGTGCTCTTGGAGACCTCTTGGGGCATCTTGGAGGCCTCCTGGGCCGTTTGGAGGCCATCTTGGACGTCTTGGGGCGACCTTTCGGCGAATCGAAGCCCTTTAGGACACATCGTAGGGTTCGGGGGGTCTTTTTGTGCGGCACAGCGTCCAGATGACCAACACGAAACACTCCAGAACTTACGGGGGAGACCCCTGGAGAGCCCGGGAAGGCCCAGAACACCGGTGGGCTCGGGCCCTTACAAATCTACAATCTTGGTTGCAGCAGAAGCGCAGCTGCGAGCCTTTGGGCACTCATGTGTGTGCTCGAGGCACGGTGGCGGACTGGCACTGCAGAATGTTGGCGCCAGGTCACATTCATGGATGTCGTTGAAGAGCGCGAGGCGCACACATGTTTGAGATGTCTCTGCAGCCTCAAGCATTATTCGTCCAATGCGTGTCGCTTGGGATCTGTTCCAGCCTGAGCGCAGACCAAGTTGAATTGAACGAATCCCACCAGCCCTTGAGGCACAGGTGGTAGAACGGGACTTCTCTCCGTTTTTCCAAAGCCCTTTCTCCCCTCAGTCATGGAGGGTACCGTTCCCTTGGGTTTGGACGCTTGCCGGATGGAAGGGCTGAAGCGCCCAAGGCCAAGGTGGCCCAAGATGGCTCCAAGACGGCCCCCGGCCCCCGATGCGCCGAGATGGCCACCAAGATGGTTTCAGCCAGCGGGAGGTGGTTCTCCCATAAGGCTTCGATTGGCCCCCAAGTCATACATCGGGAGGCCTTTCAATGGTATAACGTGGTAGGGTGCCCCCATGGGTGCCTTTGTGGTGGGCGCGAAGTCAGGAGCCCTGCCTCAGACGCGCGGCGCTTCGTGAGCCTCACCGTGCTAGTCTCCCCAGTTCCCGAATTTGTTCACCTTTCCCGCCTTTCCAGGTGCCGGGCATGCGTCGATCGAAGAAGACAAAACAACACAAACATAGATGTTCGAAGCTTCTCGCGGAGTTCTTGAATCTGCGTTGGGCCCCCTGGCGGCGCGTCCAGCGCCGCCCCTGGCGCGCTCCGCGCGCCAGGCAGGGGTCCAAAGCAGATCCGAGAAATCCGTGCGAGCCCCCGAATGTTTCTGTGTATGCAATGGCTCCGTTTTCTGAGCAAGCAGAAATGCTTATTCACCTCAATGACTACTCAGTGTGAGTGCTATTCTTCTATCTTCCCTTATGGTGCTCGTATTTCCTCGGCCCATCCCGCATATCGTTTTTTGTTGCACTGGACTGTCCTGAGTTGAACTCCGATCCGATCTGGTTTTCCCAATCAAGGCGTTCTCGGTCCCTCAAACATGGTGTTGCCGCTGCAGCGTTGGCCGCCGGCGCGTTGCTCTGGCCGTTCAGATGCCTGCTCTCGTCCCATCGAGGGATACATGTCTGGATTCGATTCGTCCCTCGTCGTTGCGGACCCCATCCTTTACCCTCCGACTTCAGCGGTCGTCTTGCTTCTCTACCCTCCTGCTATTCATGCTCCCCTTCATGCTTCCTCATTGTTCTGTGCTTCGTCCTGGTCGTCCTCATGCTCATTGCCTTATCATCCCTCCTCCTCGCCCACTGTACAAGGCACCACTTGTGAGATCAGAGGTCACATCACACACTCGGGTTATTTGTGAGATCGAAGTCATCGAGGTCACACCGGCTGGCAATTTGAAGGGATGGGTGGGAGGGATAGGATGTCAAGTATTGCGCGAGCGCGCCCAGTTTGTCCTCCTCTACCTTCTTCGGCCGCGCTTCCCCCCTGAAGCGAGAGACCTTTATGAGACCGTGCAGTTCCGTCGGGGCATCCCCAATCCTCGAGGTAGAGAAGAAGCAACGGGTTCCACACGCAGCCTCTTTGGCTCAACAGGTCACGTTTGCCCCACCAGACACTAACGCAGTTTGATCGCGCCTCCCAGATGGCCGCGTTCAAGTTCGCAGCCTTGCTGCTGGTCACATGCCCGGCCACCGCGCATGCCGCCTCCTTGCGGTCGAACACGAGGGCGGCCGCAAATCCGGTGCGCAGGGTTGTCTCGATGTTGCAATCGATGCAGAAGAAGGTTGAGGCGGAAGGCGACAAGGAGGAAGAGATGTACAAGAGATTCTCATGCTACTGCAAGACGGGAGCCACCGATCTCTCGGCAAGCATCTCCGCTGCGGGTACGAAAAGCACACAGCTTGGCTCCGACGTGAAGGCAGCGGAGGAGCAGCTCGCCCAGGTGAAGCAGGGGCTGGGGGATGCGCAGACAGAGCGTGCTGAAGCCAAGACGGCCGTCGCCAAGGCGACCTCGATCCGGAGGAAAGAGGCCGCGGGGTTCGCGGCAACAAAGGCAGAGCTCGAGAGCTACATCTCCGCCATCAAGCAGGCAGTCGCCGCGCTGACCAAGGGAATGGCGGGTGGATTCCTACAAACTACCTCGGCGAGCTTGTTGCGCAAGATCGTCCTGACCAAGGGCGACGCCATCCAGGACGAAGACCGCGAGGCGCTCCTTTCATTCCTGTCTGGGAAGGACAGCTCTTCGTACGTGCCCCAGAGCGGGGAGGTGACAGGGATTCTGAAGGAAATGGGCGACAGTTTCTCGAAGAGCCTTTCAGACGCCTCTGACACGGAGGCCAACGCAATCAAGGAGTTCGAGGCTTTGGTCGCCGCAAAGGCCAAGGAGATCGACGCACTTACACTGTCCATCGAGGCCAAGACCTCGAAGAGCGGGTCGCTGGGCGTGACCATCGTCCAGATGAGGAATGATATGAGCGACTCGGAAATTGCGTTGCTCGAGGATCAGAAGCTCCTCCAAGAATTGGAGTCGGGCTGCTCTACGAAGGACAAGGAATACGAGGAACGCGTGAAGACGCGTCACGACGAGCTCGCCGCCCTCACCGAGACCATCAAGATTCTGAATGATGACGATGCGCTTGACTTGTTTAATCCAGAGGGTCACCCATGTGCCGCTGCCACCCCCTCCTTATGGATTCGCTGTTTTGTGGAATCCTCTGTGGGGGTTCGGGGGATCAATCTGTGCGATTTCGTTGACAGGGTTGAGCCGTCCAGCGGCAACCCTGGACGATCATCAGGCCCTCCTGGGGACTTGTTGAGCTACCTTTGGTCTTTCTTGGGCCAGCTTGGAGTTTTTCAGGCCCATCGCAGGGCCATGCGGGAGCATTTGGGCCATCTGTTGAGTAGGGCCGAGGGTCAGAGAGCGCATTCCTCCACCCACAATGCGACGCCAAGGTGGTAAAACGACGCCTCGCCGGTTAAGCCGACGCAGATGTGCGAAATCCCGCCACTCGTTTATGTCCAAAGTTTAGGTTTGACG